CCAGCCGTTCCTGTGAAAATTTTAGAACAGCTAATTGCCGTCTAGCTGACGCGTAGTATGGGAAACTTTGCTATTCCAGAATTGGTCTAAACAGCGCGCCAGGTCTATGTACTTGTGTGGGCTGTGCAGTCTTAGTGAATGTTTGCCTTAGGGTTTGAATTCTTTACATAAACTTTTGGACAGCTTTTGTCGTTAACCTCAAACACCTGGCTACTGTTCCATTCTCTGTCTTATTATTTAGTTCTTTTCTCCGCCCTGATTTTTAAGACTTTCATTTGGGTTGCAACAAACCGTTCACCAATCTAATATAATCACGTTTATAGTTCGTAACTGCAGGTCTTTTACCATCCACCAACTTATATATCATTTTCTCTGTGCTTCTTTGTCGCGAAAGTTGCAGTCATATTTTATGCCTTCTATAATGAAAACAGTAATCTATCACACTATATGTGAAGCGTTCTAAACCAGACTATAGGACAGTGCTGTTGACAGAGATGGGCATTTGTTTCACACTATTCACAGACTAGCCTCTAACATAAAATGTGACCAACCGCCTGATAAAAATAATCTAAGTAGTTTTCTTGATAAAAATATAAAACTTGGGCACCACGGCAATGTAAAGGCGGGCTTAAGTTTCTAACCGAGCAGTAACACTAATAAGCACGACAAAAAAACGAAACGATTAAATGAAACAGATAGAATAGGCGCTGATGTTAAATAACTATCCTACAAAATTCATGACAGCGGTTATATTTCTTGTTCACCAACACTGTCTCATCCACACGGACTACTACATCGTCCCCGCTTAACAACGAAGTAGTTCTGTCCATTTTCCATGAGGCGATGTCCCTGCAGTGCTGGTATACCAGTGGTATACCACTGAGTTGTTGAGACGAGGCTGTTCTCCGTCTCGCAGCAGCGGCTCTCACGGGCTGTTTCAGTACTCAGTAATTGCAAATGTACAAAATCTGGGTTAGGGAGAGATGCGACCTAGCAAAAAATTTCCTACTAAATATTATCCTCTCTAATACTGACTCGCTCCCAGCATATTCCCCAACGATGTACAAAACCATCAGTTGACCTGGTAATTTTTTTAGAGTCATTACACAACCACACGAACAACTTCTCTTCTTTCGAGGCAAGCCTAAGTCCAGGCAATACTGAAAGACACCATCCTCCTCGAATTGCAAACGTAACCTTGTAAGGGCACGCATTGAAATGAATCAAGTGCGACACAACATTGAACTACGTTCGTGAATCTCATTGGATAATTCGACGTCGTTCGCTGATTGGTAGTTATTGGTGTCTAAAGTTTAACATGGCCTCTGAAGCTTGTATTCCAAATGAATACTATCTGTAAGACAGCCAGTTAAAAAATATAAGGCTTTTTCTTAGTGGCTAACAGTGGCAAAAACTAAATTAAAATTACTCACCCTTTTTAATTTGTGTATGAAATTCACTACTTATAAGTCATCTACTTCAATGACCATCCGGATTGTCTCAATTCATGTACAACATTAACTCAGATCTCGTCCTCCGCGTTCAGTTAATTGCTTGTTTGTTACCAGTGGCCTCATGCATTTGGCTCATTAGTGGCAACAAACTTCTTGTGTAACAACAGAGTGAGCTATATATCATCAATATATAGTTGTTTAGTCTCAAGTTATTTGAACTTATCTCAGCCCTGTGCACCTCTCAGTAGTGTACGCCGCATTACTTTTTCACTTATAACCCTCGTTTTCTTACATGAGAAACACTTACAGCTGATAAAATCACCATTATTTTGGTGTAATAACATCCAGTGTGATTATTGGTCCTAAGATGATGTCCTCGGTTGAGTCTACACAACTATTTCTTCCTTGTTTCCTCTACACTACCATTTGAGATGACGTTTTCACGCAAAGACGGTATGCTCTGTTGGCACTAAATGTGGTGCGAAGCACAGTGTGGCTGTACTTTCAGCATCATTTAAGTTTTCGTCATTCTGCTCTATAACGTCTAAGTCGGTAATCCACCACTAGCCTTCCTTTAGCTTCTATTAGATAACGCTTAATTCTTCGTTATTTCATTATCATTTCAATTGCCATTATTCTCCTCTGCCAGGCATAATACCGAAATTCTCAAAAGAACGACCATGGTTAGACCAACCTCACAATTTCTAAATGACTTCCACTCAAAATAAGTCTGGTGTGAACTACTGTTGGAGTTATGGTGACCAAGACTCGGAAAATACATCACATACTTGAAACCAATCCCTCTGCGTTAACATATAAGAGCATAAAGATTAATTTATATTAGCCCATAACATAAGTATTGGATATTGGTCCTATTGCCGCGTCGTGTAATGGTAACGCTACATGTAAGCATGGTTTGACACAGGGTGTTTTCCTTTTCTAGGCTGACTTTTGATAAATCTGGCCTTTTAGTATAGTCATTCGAAGTAAATATAAAAACTTCTAAATCTCAATGTATTTATAAGGTATTAGGCTGCACAGAACCGCAGGATTACACAATTTGAAGGGTTTTTTCTGATGTTCGTCACTTCCGTCATTCCGAATTTTGTTTTTTACTTAGTTTTCCGAAGGTGAAGTAGTTAAACTAGTTGTTCGTTTCTTATAGTGAATTGCAATTATTGTGTCGAGTATGTTCTTACACAAATCCCATATCATGTCTAAGAGTAGACTTGAGGCCTTTAATCTCACATTTGAGATAGGTATCATTGGTGGAGATCATCTATCTAGGCCCACCCTGAAGTAATCGCTTGGTATGGACCGGGCGTTTTTTAGTGTGTCAGAAGTTCTGTTTAGCATTTTAAACTCAAATCACTTAAACTGAATAAAAATATTTTACAGTGCCATAGTATCATTTGTTCTTAATACGGCCCTCTGGGCACAGGTTTGATAGGATGTAGACATCCTATAACGTAACAATATGGACACAGTACATCGCATGGCATTGGAATTCACTGTAGTGGTTAAAATCACTTCAGAGATTACAAAAGATGAATTATTTTAAGCGATGCTAATCATTGGCTCTCACCATCTCAGCGACTCCGACCAGGCACTTAACACCTGTCTATGTGAATAGCCGTCAAGAAATTTCATGAATTAATACCCTGTTCTGGTTTGATCTACACAAACGCTTATCTGGGTGAAATTTACTCCTTATTTGGTGAATAGCGTTGACATTTCAGCTATGATAATAACAGGTGCAGTTAGCCAACGACTAGCATGCGTTCAAGATCATTGTAGCTTCCGAACTCCTGCGACGCTGTTATTAAACTTCGCCAACTTAATACTATGTCAGACTTCATTTCTTAACAAAGAAAGTGGTGGATTGCGATACTTATCCTACGCTCAAATCACCTCATTCAGTGTGACTTGACAACCTCATCAATGAACTTTCTACCCTTACCTAACACTAAGCCCAGCCTCAATATTACGATGTTATACAGCTTAATAGGGGAAACAAAAGACAAACACAGTTAGAGACGGACGTCTTGTACTTCCGACGGCCACGATTCAGAGGGATAGAGAAAAATATTGTGAACTTCTGTGTCGTAATAACGTCGTTTCATTGATAACCAGAGGTCATGTTTGTGTGAGGGGTGAGATGAGTTGGCAGATGCCAAACGAGACTTTTGTATTTGTGCTGACTGACTGGCTTCAACGTAGGACTTTGCACAGACGTGCAGCAGTTCGAGTTGCCTCATTCCATGTAGCCCACAAAGCCAGGGAAAATAGTAGCCATAGATTCACAAGAGATAATAAGGGACAGAAATAGGCCAAAATATTAATAATAATAATATGGAAGAACAGTAGAATTTTATTGGATATTATAAAACACGGAGTGATTGGATCTGCGCCATTGAGAACGATTTTGAGCCATATCACTAATTGTCTCCAACTGTCATTGGTTTTTATCATCCCGAGGACCCCAATCACCCAGCCAGTCTAGACCTCCCTACGTGACTGGCCTAAACTAGCTGTTGTTGATTTCACTGACTGATGAAGGCATGTTTTGGTTTGACCACCACTGGCTAGCTCTTTTCCAACCTGATCCATCCTATGTCAGCTAACATTTCCGATTGTGGAGGAAGGCGACCGATGGCTAGGCATGCACAACACATGTCCTAACCATCTGAATCGGTGTAACTTCACAATCGTGTCGATTGATTTGCCCTCCCTACTTAGCAATTGACCGATGCCTAACCTCAATATAGCTCACCTTATTATAGCACTTCACACGGGAGATCGAACTCAGGCACCTATGATCAAAGAGAGCTGGCCAGTTTCTTCACTTCTTCCACTTTCAATGGCCAGGTCTCAGCCATAAATGAGGATGGAGTGGACTGTTGAGCAGTACACACGCTCTTTGGTTGGCAGCCGAATGTCAATTCTATGTGAGAGATGGTGTATGCTGGCGAATGCTAAAGGAGACTTCTGTATCCGAGGTGAGATTTTGTCAGCGGTCCACCAGCTGACGTTGGCTGCCACTTCCCAAATAAGTGGAGAGTTCAGCACTCTCCATCAACCACTTGATTGGCTATATCTAACCCATCAGTCATTGTATTGTAGTCCTGTAGCATCGTCTTGCATTTGACGGGAGCGAATCGCATGCCAGACATCCGCAGATCGCTGCTCAAGGTGTCCAGAAGACTGCATTTTGTCAGCATCTACACCTAGGAGTAGGACTGTATCATCTGCATATTGTAAGTAAGTCAACAAGATTATTTCTTGATGATAACAAGTCAGTGCCTGAGTCGCTGAAGTCAATTAGGGTTGATTCCATTAGTAGTACATCAATGATGAAATTAAAGAGAAATGGGGACAGTGGGCATCCCTGACGGACACCACTGGTTGTCACCACTTCAGATGACAACTCTTCGGAGGCTCTCACCTGGTTGACTGTATGATTTCGAGTCGAGTGCCTTGATCAGTTCGATGTATTTTCTCGGTATTCCCTCCACAGCCAAACATCGCCATTGTACATCGAGGTGGATGGAATGGAATGCCACTGTCAGGTGAAGAAGTATAATGATTGTTGGAGGCCAGTAAGTATGCGTATGTCCCGTCCCAGAATCCGTCGAAGGCTGAAGATATGATCAATACACCGTCTTCCTGGTCTAGAGCCTGCCTGGTTCTCTCGTGTTTGTTCCTCCCGTTGACTGCTTGGTCTAAATATTATAATTTAGCCAATAACTGTAGATACCAAATTGGTCAAGCGGGCTATTGATTACAGCTTGACTGCACACCGTATTTTTGTTACAAGTATGGAATTTTCAGCGTGCGATATCGGTAGCCCAAATTTTGGATGTCGACCATTGATATCAAGTGTACGTCGGTAGGAGATCGAACCGTGGACCACATGCATGGTCGGCGAGAGTCCTAACCTCTGTACCAAATTGGTCAAGCTATGTCCCCTGTCATCATGACAGGGAGAATTGTCTGCCTTCTTGTATATCAGGAAAATCAATGACTTACACCAGGTCGACGGGACTGTCTTTGATTCCGAGAAGTTGCCTAGTACCTTGGTTAACTCAGACAGTAAACGTTCATCTCACAATATGATACAGTATTATTTCCTGATGACGTTTTTAGCACAATTTATTGCTCATAATCGCACCAAGTTGCTCACACAACTTTAAACTTTGTGTAAATAATTCCACTATTTTTCATCCCTTGATTTGATTGGTAGTAGTATTTTGCATATTTCTGGTAGGAGTGGTGAGTCATTCCTCTTGCATTCCTATTGAATTATACTCTACAACAGTGCACAAGTTCTATTCTTATATCAGTCGGACAGTAAACTGTCTCCACCATCCTTAAACACCTCTGTAGTCATTCCATCAGGTATCGCTGCTTTGCCTCGTTTGAGACCAGTGACAACTTTTGTAACCTCAGTGAGGGATGGAGGATGTTTATATCTTATTCTGGGAGGTATTGGTTGCCCAGTAAGTTGAGCGTGGCTGTACGCCAGTTGAATTATTCCTCAAAGTTTTCTGTTCCACGTTCTAGTCACCTATCCTGAGAGCTAATTATGGTGCTATTTTCTCGGAGATTGTCTCACTTATCATTTGCCTATTGCCACCTGTTCCCCTGTTGTGAGATTTGGTGATCAGACTATCAATTGGGACTGGTGGAGCGAACACGCTCAACTATCTAACTGCCTTCCTTTGGGCTAGAAGTGAACTGAGGTGAGTCCAATAGTATCATCTTACATTTGACAATGGCGGACCGCATATCAAGCTCTGTCTGTCTGTTTTCGACATAGAACTTTGCACATATGTGCGTCAGTTCGAGTCGCCACACTCCATGTAGCACACAAAGCAAGAGAAGAAAATAGGAGAAATGCATAATATAGACAGTAAACAGAGGTGTGAGACAAAGGAATAGTAATAACGAAGAACAAAAAGTTTCATTGGAAATCATAAGTCACAAGGAGTGGATGCATCTGCGCCATTGAGAACGATTTTGAGCCATGTCACCAATTGTTTCCAACCATTGGTTTTTACCGTCCCGAGGACCCCAACCAGGAAGTCTACACCTTCCTACGTGGCTTAGACTAACTGTTGTAGATTTCATTGACTGGTGCCATGTTTTGGTTTGACCGCCGCTCGCTCTTTTCCAGCCTGAACCTATATCAGCTAACATTGCCCGTCGAGGAAGGCGATGACTAGGCATACGTAGCACATGTCCTAACCATCTCAGTCGATGTAATTTCACAGCCTCGTCGATTGATTTCCCCGCCTTACCTAGCACTCGACGCCTAACCTCAATATTGCTCACCTTATTATACCACTTCACACGGGAGATAGAGCACAGGCACCTATGATCAAAGACAGCTAATCTTTTCATGTCTTCCACTCTCAATGGCCAGGTCTCACAGCCATAAAGGAGGACGGAGCGGACTGGTGAGCAGTACACACGCCCTTTGGTCGATAGTCGGATATCACGTCTACGCCAGAGACGGCGTAAACTGGCATATACGAAACTAGCCCTCTGTATCCGTGCTGGGATTTCGTCAGAGATCAACCCGTTGGCACTGGCTGATGGTACTTCCCAAGTAAGTGAAGCGGTCAACGTGCTCTACCACTTCACTTCCTATTTCTAATGTAGGAGTCGGTGTAGTCCAATCCTGTAACATCATCTTGCATTTGGCGGGAGCGAATCGCATGCCAAACATTCGTAGGTTGCAGCTCAAGGTGTTCAGAAGATTCTACATTTTGTCAGCGTCCTCGCCTAGAAGGACTATATCGTCTGCATATTCTAAGTCAACGAGATTATTCCCTGGTAGCAAGTCAATCCCTGAGTCTCTGAAGTGAGTTAGGGTTAAGTCCATTAGTGCATCTTTGATGAAGTTGAATAGAAATGGGGATAATGGCCATCCTTGACGGACGCCACTAGTCGTCACCACTTCAGATGATAACTCGCCGTAAGCCCTCACCTGGCTGCATGAGTTCGAGTAGAGTGCCTTGATCAGTGCAATGTATTTTATCGGCATTCCTTTCACAGCCAAGCATCGCCAGAGAACCTCTCGGGCGACAAAAAAGAAATATAATGATTGTTGGACGCCGGTAGGAATGCCTGTTCTAGAATCTGTCGAAGGGTGAAGATATGATCAATACACCCTCTTCCTGGTCTAAAGCCTGCATGGTTCTCTCGTGTTTGTGCCTCCCGAGCACCACTTAGTCTACGCATGATTATTGAGCCTAGGACTTTAGATACCATATTAGTCAAGCTAATCCCTCTGTGATTATCACAGGAAGACTTGTCTCCCTTCTTATATATCGGTATGATCAGTGACTTACACCAACCCGATGGGACTTCCTCTTATTCCCAGACGCTGCCTAGAACCTCAGTTAATGCAGATAATAAACTGTCTCCACCGTACTTAAATACCTCTGGAGTCAATAAATCAGGTCCCGCTGCTTTGCCTAGCTTCAGATTAGTGACAGCTTTAGTAACCTCAGTTAAGGACGGAGGACCTGTGTCTACATCCCATTCAGGGAGGTGTTGGATGTTCGGCAGGTTAAGTGTGTCTGTAGGCCAATTAAACTGCTCCTCATAGTGTTCTTTCCAGCGTTCCAGTCGTCTATCCTGGGAGCTAATTATGGTGCCATTTTTCTCGGAGATTGTTTCACTTATCATTTGCCTTTTGCCACCTGTGTCCCTGATAAGTCTAAATAGTTGTCTGATGTTGCCAATCGCCGGTGCCTTTTCCATCTCTTTCGCTTTTGTCGCCCACCACTGTTCACGGTCGTTGCGAAGACTTTTTGTTAGTCTTCGTTTAAGTACCTTTCGCTCCTCATCATAATCGGAACTCGCTGGAATCAGTCTTCTTGCGTCAATCAGTTCGGATGAGGCGGTAGAGATCCAATGGTTTTTATTAACTTTAGGTTTTAGCTTATTAACAACTTTCACAGCTGTGTCTACAGCTAACTGTATGTTGTGGCAGGCTACCTCAGGAGAACTCCTGCTGTCGACCTCAGATACACGTTTTGCTATTTCTTCCTTAAATAAGGACTCAGTGTCTCGATCTAGTTGGGGACGTAACTGTTTCGCTACCATCAATTTCTTATGTCCATTTAGTCGTAAGCATAAACGTACGCGAACCAAGAGCGTGATCAGAATTTACGCACGTGTTCCAGAAGGAGCGACAGTCTTCTACTGACCCTCGCCAACGATACCCTATCGCTATGTGGTCTATCTTAGTCCAGCGTTGCTTTGGTGATGGAGGTCGCCAGGTTACACAATGTCTCTTTGTGCCTAAAGTTAGTGCTGACTAGGAACAGATGATTATCTGAGCAAAACTGTAGAAGACGGTCACCGTTGTTGGTTCGTCGACAGGGAACTCCATACGTACCGCCTACATACTTCTTAGTCTGGCACAACTTCCCTACTTGGGCATTGAAGTCACCTGCTAAAACAACTATATCTGAACGTTTTTCTTTTTGCAGCAAATTAGACAGTTTCAGGTAGAAGTCATCTTTTAGTTCATCCGAACTGCAGTCTGTTGGGGCGTAAGCGGAGACTACGAAAAGGCAACGACGGGTAGCGCCATCTTTCCTTCTTTTAACGGACCCATTCAGATGGACCGCACACATACGACTATCTACTGGGATCCAGTCAAGAAGTGATTTTTCCGCCCTAACACTCAGTGCTATCCCTACACTTGCGAGTCCTCGCGAGCTAGCTGAGGGGTCTCCTGACACCCTTAAAGTGAATTTTGCAGATTCACCTTGTTGACCGAGTGAAGTCAAGTGAATGACCACACGCGGGTCTTGTATGCGTGTCTCCGAAACACAACATACATCCATAGCTGTAGATTCCAGAGTTCTTGCTAGTGATGCCTGTTGTCCGATTTGGCAGAGGTTCCTGACGTTAAAAGCTCCTATATGAAGTTGGCGACGTGGCTTTAAAAGGTTATCTGAGGTGTTTGTTTGGCTCTCACCTTTGTTTGTGGACACAGAGTGGAGTGAAGATGACTCACTAGTCTGCAGAGTAGTGCTAATTGTAGTAGAGAAGCAAGATGAGAAAGGTGATGTGAGTAAGGGAGAGTGATGCTCAGGGAGGCTTCGTGTGCTTTTGGAAGTGTGTGGGCGGTCGTTACTTCCCGGCTGTCCACACCGTGGAAGTTGATTGATTCTTCGGGAACCTGAAACAGAAAGTGTTGCGTGACCACAGAGCCCAGGGGACAACTGCTTGAGGCCGGTCACACGCGGCCTGTTTTTGTTTGTTCTTTTTTGTTTGGTGTGTCTCAGTAGCATATTCATCACTTCTGCCCTGTGACACGGCAGCAGGAAGCGCAGTGGTTGTTAATCCGGGCCCCGACCGATCCGGCATGATATTTTGCGAATTTGTTTGAATCACAGTATTGGATTGGGTAGCTACTTTTTGTCTAACCGCTATCCAAACAACCTTCCTGGCATGGTACGACCTGCAGGAACATAAGTTTCAGCCAGTGTAGCTCGTTGGGTCATTGCGATATGCGAGCCCGACCACCACTTCAAGGTAGCAGCTATCGGTCGGGATATCAAGCTCAGGGAACTTATTTAGATAACCATTTTTATGAGGTAATTCTCTGGTAATCTTATGCTCCTCGCTGAGAGAGTCGCTTGAGTAGATTACCCTAGCTCTGTGAACCAAACTCTTTATCAAGTTGCGTTTATATTTCAGAGGTGTAAAACTCAGAAAATGAGTGTACTAACCTGTTATTGTAGGTCCCCTATACATACTCCCTCTTAGTTTACTATCTTGTCTGTGTATTTCGTCTCATTCGTAATTAACGCCGCAGAACCTTTATCTGGTTTAGTAATTATTCAATTCTCACTTCTCTGCAGTTTATTTATGACTTCCCTATGGTTTTTGGTCAGCATACCAATTGATTTCCGTTTGTAATTCATATATTTATAGCATCAATAGGCGAGAGTCAATTTAAGTCTTTCAACTGCCTCAACTGATGAAGGTATCAGGTTTTCAAACTGATTTGGCGTATCCATTTTAATAATTCTAACATGATAATCACAAAATTTAGGGCCAAGGGATACTGCTTGCAAATCTATCTCATCAAAAACAACATCGGAAAAATTATAAACATACCAACCAGGGTTTAGAGGAGATCGTGTGAAGAGGAATTGAAACAGTATGGATTAACATGGACGCAGGTGAAAAGTACAGCAGGAGTCAGAAGCAAGTGGAGACATGTAGTTGAAGCCCTATGTCCCACTAGGAACCCAAGGGAACAATGATAATAATAATAATAATAACCAGGGTTTAGAGGAAATCGCGTCTCAGGAGTTTTGCTTTCCTGGCTTTGTAATAAATTCAGCGTGTTTCTTTTCTTTACCCTTTACAACAACTTGATTCCGATTGTTTAAAGCACTTCAGGAAATCTTTTCTGGACTTATCGCCACTAGTATGGTAAAATCTTTCGTACTGTATTAAATATATATATTATGTATATGCGTTGGTGGCACAGCGGTAGAATGCCCACCGACCACGCAGGTGGTCCGGAGTTCGTCCTCGACCGACGCACTCCTTTACCTCGCTATGCCAGTCATAACACCTGTAAAGAGGGAATCTTGTGTATGAGGCTAGCAACCCCATCCGTAAAAATAAGCACCATTGCCGCCGAAACTTCAAGCCTCTAGCTTGAAGTCCTAAGTTCCAATGGGACCGTCAAGGAATTCAAGTATATATATATATATATATACATATTAGGGTAGAGCCAGCGATGGGGATGTAGTTGAGAATTAAATATCTTTGCTGATTGCTTTGTGTTAATTTTCAGCATTACATATTTCCTGTAGTCCCATTCGTAGAGTGAAATATGTAATTGGTAATCAATATGTACTATATGACGAGAAATACTGTCGCTACTTATTAACTGTCCGTTTGTCTGGGTTACGTCTTATTCTGAATTTCACAATTTTACGATATTGTTGACATTTTATCATCACTTTGTTTATGATCTTAGATTTTTGTTGTAAATCAGTTGAATACAGTTTTATGATTCTTATATTTTTATTCTCAGAACAAAGCAAAATGGAGAGTCGTACATGGTCCTTCTGTGTACCTGTATATCCAATCAACTTCAAACAAATGACACAGTGTCTTCTTCAGTATGTTACTTCTTATATTAACAAATTCATTCCTGACCTACAAGGAGTTCTTGTGGATTTTGATGCGAAAACTTTGCAGATTATGACTGAAATATATCATTCCGACTCTAATATTCCTACTGGCCTTGTTTGTGGTCTCTTTCTTCTAAATCCTGAATTAAATCATCTTCGTGTACACGCAAAGATAAACGTTAATGTTTTTCGACCACATTTGGGTCTAGAGGTGGACGCTATCGTTTCAATGGTTAAACCACAATTTATTCTTTGTCGAACAGAAATTTCCAATGTAATGATTAGTCTTCCACGTTTATCTTCTAAACTAATAAAAAAGGAAGAAGAACAAGATTTTAGTCCATCTATGTTAAAGCCTTTCGACAGAATCAAAGTGAAACTAACTCAAGTTAATCACAATTTTGGATCATCAGTTCTACAAGGTGAATTTATTAAATGCCTTTCTAAACCATTATCGAAGTACTCTAAAAAACACGGAAATCATCATGAAAAGTCTACTATTGCTGAATCAGTTGATGTGAAACCAGTAGTTAACAAGTTGGATGCTGACAGAAGCTTTGAAAAGAACAATACATCAATTGATGGGAATTCTTCTGATCCAATCAACAATGTGGATAGTTCATGTGACTCTGTAACACCAAAATCAAGAAAGCGTAAAATTTCTAAAGTTGAGGCTCCATCACCAGGAGCCTTTGATATACCAGAATCTAAATGTTTTGTAAGACGTAATAGTTCTGATTCCGAAATAGCTACTCCTGCTTTGTTAAGCAAAGCCTTGTTGAAATGTGGACAGAGCTATCAATCGAAGCAAAAACATTCTTCCCCCATAGCTGTCAAACAGGAACCAACTTAATTATTTGTTAAAAAGAAAATGTTGAGCATATATATATATATATATTTATAAATTATTTTGACATCCTTTTATTTTTAATATTGGGATTGAAAAGTTGCCTGATGCATCATTTACAAAAAGATTGCACTTCAAAATTACTTTATTTTTCTTGAGATACTTATTAAAATTAGGACCTATTGTAATTAGTTTTGCCAATGGAAGGTATTACTTATACTACTCATTGTGTCTGTTAGTAGCAATTAGTATACTTGTGATGATTGCCTTTTCACTGCATTGAAAATTCTCATTAGAATATGTGTCAAATAAAACTAAGTAAGCCTCTTTTCAATGAATTTACCATCAAGCTGTATAATCGTACCATAAGTCAATAATTCTATTTAATAAAACGTATTGATACGTTAGTATTTACTGATGACCTTCCAAAAAATTTATTGCTTATAATCATATCAAGGCACTTAACTACCAAACTTTGTTTGGATAGTCCCACTACCTATCCTTTGATCTTATTGGTAGTAATATTTTCCACATGTCTAGTATTGTTGTTGCATCTCTCCTATTGCTCATGTTGAGTGTACATTGGACAAACGGAAAATCGGTGATCCACCTAACATTTTTGGTTTTTTAGAACTGAAGCTCTGTCTCAATCTACACTGTTTACGTGTATGCATCGTGATTGCTTAATCATCTTTCTGTGGCCAAACATTTTAAATTCAACTAAATTCCTGTTTCGATAGCCTGAGTGATGCGACTGTGCTAGATGAACCTATGTAGTTGGCCTCACAGTTATTGCAAGATATTTTGTAGATTAGGCTATTTTGTCTGTTCGGGTTATTAGGGTTCTTTAGTCTACAGAACTTGTCTCTGAGTAATTTTGTAGGTTTCGATGCCACCCTAGTTCTTACTTCGTTAAGAATCCTACATTGGACTGCATATTTGACTTCCTCATATGGCAACACTAAATACGTTAAATTCTGTTTTAAATATGTTATAGTCAGCAGTTTCATTACTGATTTTTGTATTATTGTGAACTTTTTTTTAACTTCCTAACGAATTTTATCGAGTTACTCAGTAGCGGGGCTTCTTATCTTCGTTTCATTTCAATATTTACGTTAAATGAGGGAAGTTACTTGGTGTCTTTCATATACCCTTGAGCAATGAATTGTGCTTGAAACATTATCACTGTGTTATGTGGAATAATTTACTCTAGGGTGTAATTATACTCTACCGTGGTGACCGGCCGGGGATCGAACCGCGGACCATGTGCATGGTCGGCGAGCGTTCTAACCACTATACCACCGACGCATACATTACTTGACAAAATAGGAAGTTTGGCTAGTTAACATTGGAAAATTTAAGTATAATCAAACAAATGAAAGGTGGTAAGTGAATTAATCCTAGAAATTACTCAAAATAGATAGAAAAAGAATAGAAATAGTAACAAATGGGTTGGTGGATTAATTAAGCAAGTCGCAAAGGTAGACACAATGGCTGCAATAATTAGACATAAACGGGTTCCAACTGTAACAAAAAAAGCGAGTGATCTTCTGTAATTAGAGCTCTGGCTTCTCTATTTCGATAGCCAAGGCTTCTGTATTGGGGTTGATCTGAGTAGTTAGTGATTTCGGCAAGCTATTTTTGCCGTATAAATTTTTTTAAATGAAGATGCTGAGGAGATGTGATGACCACTGCCGACCAGATTTTAAATTATTGCTCTTACAGCTTCATTTCCAACCTACGCAAGCACACAAGACTGGCTTCTAGTACCCTTATGCACAAAAACAATCGATATACCTGGCTCAGCGGGAGCTGGTGAATTGCGAAACACAAAGTTGGTCATCTACGGGAACTTAACGTTTAGGTAATTCAACTATAGTGGTCGGCTAGAAAATACTGTTCTCTTCTAAGCGGATGCGAATGTCCACATCAGGGATTTTGAGGTTTTTCTTATAAGATGGTACTCAGGTAGGTCAACTTTTAATTCAAGGTTCTATGTAGCATTTTCTTGGATAGGGACGTCAAATCATCAGATAGCTTTGGAATGTATTTTTTTGTCTATAAACGTGGAGAGTATCCATTATTGATTAGGAATTTTCTCATAAGATGTAACTCTTCCACCATGGTAATAGGGGTACACGTGGGCCGAATTTGAGCGGCAAGTGATTGAATCAGGTTTTGTTTTTGGCCAGTGGGTACCGAACTAAAGAAATTTGTTAACTGACCATTCCATGACAGCTTTCTATAAACTAACCTCTTCAAGATGCTATCATTTCTGCTTGATAGCCTCACACCAAGGAAAGAAATGCTAAACCGTTCTCCATTTTGAATGTGAATTTTATTGCTGAATGCTAACTAGTGAATGCATTTAATGCATTTTTGAAATCACAATTGTCATCACAAGGTGTCGTCACATACCTTTCATACAATTGAAAACGTTGGATTGATGATTGCAAATGACCATTTTTTTGACCGGCCAAAAAACATTCTGTAAGAGGAGGACTCAAAGGAGACTCCATAATAGTACTGTACTTTTGTCCGTAGATTGCTTCGTTGTATATAAATTTTATATTTAAAATGCATCAGTTGGTATCCCCATATTCCGCTTGGAATCATCTGTGCATTTACTTGTAAAACGTATTGTATGTCATTGGGACGAAAGGGAAGAAAGATCCCACATCCGAAACTATCGTACATTTACTAGAAGCATTTATCGCCTGATGAGGGCATCAGATATATTCAGGATTCCAAGGAGTGAGAAACCGGCTTTTGGTATCTTCGGTAGATTACAAGGCCCTGGTATCAATGACTCTGTTAGACTAATCTTTTCGTAGACTTCTTCACTCATCATACGATTATTTTTCAGTCGTTTGGAAGCTTCCATGAGTTACTGTTCAGTTAACCCAGTGTTATATTTACTTAATTACAAAGGTTAGCGAATTCGTTGCTATCTGAAGGTAAGAACTGCTATAATTACAAATACACACTTGTTGGGGCGTGTCCTTTGTGCTATTTTGTTAGAAGACGGTGAACTTTTGGTTTTGTGTTGAGTTATTGATTGCAACAATCAGCTACGGTTGATTTGAAGCATCGGAAACTTTGGTTAGTCATGAGAATAAATAAGCTAATTGGTGCAACTGAGAAAATTTTCAAACGGAACATGTGTATGAAGGTGGCTGATATTGGGGTTATTATCAAAAGACTCCCAGCCCACAGACAACTTGAGTAAGTATGTAGAAGAATGGCTGAGTACATATCTCACAAGATTATCCGGAAATTTCTGACTAGATTCTATGGATGTGAAGTTTCTGCATAGTTTAGAATTCATAGATTCCGAGTTTGTCAGCGACCATAGTGACGTATTCGTTGAATATGGGCGAGTAATGTAAACCGGTGAATCTTCGTAAAATAGGGATACATGAATGAATAGGGTAAATGTGATTCATTATGTCTTTCAAGAGACTTTGCATTGGGATGTATGATTATGTCGAAGAGATTTGGAAACAATTTTGAGCATTCATGATTCGTCACTTATTAATCATCCAACATCATGATTATTATAACAATTATTTTATCAAGGTAAGGGTTAATGGTGTACTGTCAGGGTGGAAAGCAGTACTAAGTGGAGTACCTCAGGGAACGGTACTTGGCCCCCGCTATTCTTATTATACGTAAATGAAGTGCCAAAAATTCTTACCTCATCTTCCTTACTATTTGCGGACGATATTAAGATATGGAAAACCGTAAATAGTAGCGATGATAGATTGGTACTACAAAACGATCTACACAAATTAACCGAATGGGCTAACCTTTGGAGTCTGGAAATTAATTCCAAGAAAAGCGCGGTAATGCACCTAGGTCAGAAGTCTTACACGTCGTACTCCATGGGGGACACAGAACTGCCAGATGTTAGGGAACAAAAGGACTTAGGAATTATTGTTAGCCATGACTTGAAAACAACGGTAAACTGTAATCGAGCTGCAGCTAAGGCTTTTCGAATGCTATGGGCACTTCGAAGATCTTTCAACCGATTAGACGAGGGTATGTTCCAAGTACTCTACGCAACATATGTCAGGCCTCATCTAGAGTACTGCATACAAGCGGCGAGTCCATGCTTCAAAAAGGAGGCAAATACCCTGGAAAAAGTACAGAGGTTAGGAACGAAATTAGTTAGTGGTATCTCACACCTTCCTTATGATAAGAGGATGGAGCATTTAAATCTCTTTCCGTTATCATACCGAAGGAAGAGAGGCGACTTAATTTTAGCATACCGTATACTTAAGGGTGATTTAGGAACTGACCTTTCTAAACTTTTCTCCCCTTCTAGGATACATTTACGGGGTCACCAGAAGAAGGTGCTCAAACCAAGGTCGAATAAAATACGTTTGGAGTTTAGATTCTCTCACAGAGTGGTCAACGACTGGAATTCCTTACCTGATTCAGTAGTAACAGCTCCATCGGTGAACGCTTTCAAAGAGAAACTGGATCTCTGCAGAGATATATATCGCGAAGATTAACTTAGGCAACAAGAGCCTTCTATCCTTATAATCTGAATCCGAATCAATTTCTTAAGTCTGTTGAACACTAAATTGCGATTCTTTAGAAGTAATTTTCATTCCAAGTAAAATTACCAAGTCGCGTTCTTGAATAAACATTATTAAGGCGTAAATAATGACATATTTTATCTTCATATTTGAATTGTAAGCAGAGAAGTCAAGTTTTCCGGTTAAGTTTATCCTCAACAGGTGTTCTGTTACCGAGTTATAAACACACCTACATTCTCCTTTCGCTAGGCAGGCTAGATAATGCTCCTGAGAGCCCTAGCATTTTCGCGGTGCGCCTTAAATTTGTCCTCACGTTTCTACAGTTCATCCTGTCTTTGTCCTTATATTTCCGGAGTGCGCCCTACACTATACACTATCTAGCTGATGTAATCACAACTATATATGTACACACGGTGTCACATAATCATCACATTTTTATCTCAACACTGATTTAATGACATTAGAAGCAAGTGAAATTTGAAAGATATGTATTTACAAATAACGAAAAAGCTAATATACAATGTTAATACACTAGAAACGGCTCACGGGTGATTTAATTCTGATGATGTCGCCAACCTAGTGATTTTCCTCATACTCCATGTCTTCCCTGTTTGAATCCACGATGGCATCAAAATAAGAGAAGTGGAAATTGTTAACATACCAACAGAGACCATCACCATTCCTTTATTCGCAACTTTAGCCTGTTACCGCTGTTGTGGAACTATCGTTTAACAGATGTGTTACCATTTTCTATGGTTGTCAATTTATAAACGCTACCGTGCT